CCAAGGTTGCAAAGCTTATGGTACAAAGTGGTGCAGCTGGGCTGGAACCCAGTCACTAGGGCTCTGGCATCTGTGCTTGTAGCCACGATGCCACATCGTCAGTTTGATCATCTGCAGCTTCACTGCTTTGGAAGTAAATTAAACTGGCTTTTATTCAGTGTGTCAGCACCATGCTGAAAGCTGAAGAGGGACCCATGAAAGAAATTAAAGATTCCCAGCCCCAGTAATAGTTTCCAATCTACCTAAAGGAATGGGGCGTTAGGAGTACAGAGTGCTTTGTGATACAACTTAGGACAGTTCTGAGCGTTTAGGAAGGGGCGGGGGGCTTGTGGACTATGATAGCACAAAGAGGTAAACTTTGAACCTATCTTTAGAGGGTAGGGAGAATTTGGGAGGGCAGACAGGAGGAAGAAGAGCATAAATTCAACTCAAACTAATGACAGGGAGGGTCAAAGAGGCCATACTGGCTGGCACGAACAGTTGTGTGGAGAGGTAGGGCAGGTAAATTGGGAAAAAATGACGAAGATGTTTACTATTTCCAGCTTCCTGTGTTGAGTCCTAACATGGATTTCAGAAGGCTTACTGACACGATACTTCATGGCCCACATAACAGCTGGGTATTTCTGCATCTAGAGCTTGCAAATTTCCTTTGACAACTGGAAATTCCAAGGAGGAATTTCAAGATGGTAACATTGATTACCACTACCTGGCCATTTGAAAAAATTACTAATACATATGTTTAAGCTCATGCCTATTTACTTAGAGAAGAACAGACATGGGTCAACCACGCACCCTCACAGTAGATCCAAGGCTTCAGGCAGCAGCATGGTGCCATCTGTCTCCGAATTGCTAGAGACTTCCCCTTAGATACCCAGAGCAGCCTCCTTTTCCAATAAAAGTACTGCCTTTCTCTAAAACAGAGGAGACAAATTTACCTCCAGGAGAACTCATGTTTGACAGCACACGCCTACACACGCTTTTGACCATCTCCTACATATGGATAATGAGGATTTTATTTATGTGACTAAAACAATTATTTGTACTCTCTCAAATGCTCCTTTGTTCGATTGGCAGAATGCTTGCACAGATTCGTGATCACATAGAAACTTGTAAGTAAGGCCACCAGAAACACAAAACTGTTCCTTTGTTTTCTGGCTAAAATTATGACCAGAGAAATAAAGCAGTTTTAACCTAGAAAACCAAAAAGGGAAGTAGGGTGTGGTATGGGAGGAAAGCAGTAAGCATGAATGTACCTAATATGACCGCAGTATCATTTGCTATGTAGTTTTTAATTATAACCCATTCCTTGTCCCCTCGTCCTCTGATTCCTTAAATTCCAAAACAACCCCAGAGAAATCTTTTTGGTTTTACTTGGAAAGCAGCACTATATTTCTGTGCCTGTGCATTCTAAAATGGGCCTGTCAAATTTGAAACCTAAATGCGAACTGACAGAAATCAGCTACTAACAAATTAAGTTAAATTAATAAAGTAGATGCCTGAAATACAAAGAAATATTTTTTTTCCAGGAATCCCTTTTCCTACATGTCAGACTCGAGAAGCTAAAGCAAACTTCAGTCTCCACACTAAGTCCTTCCCTTTGCCTTGTCTTTTTTCCTAGAGAGCCCTGGATGGGAACCCTCTTCAGAATTTGATTTGCCTCCTAGTGGCAGCCTCCAAATGCCTACCTACTAATTTTATGGGCATATTGATGACATAATAGATAGATAGAAAAAATATAGAAACAAGAACCTTGTCTCTATAACCAAAACACTATGCCCGCCTTTGAGCTGAAGTGTTCAGTTTTATGATCATTAATAGAGTATTTGCACTAAATGACAAATTCAGATTTTTGTCTCGTGTAGGTTTTGTCTTAAGACAAATGTTTAAAACTATTTTTTAAAGAGATTTATTCATTCAGAACTGGGGTACAGGCTAGAGGTGCAGGGA